CCCCGCTGGGAACTCCGGGCTCAAGGCCTAAACACAAAGGAGAGTTGTGGGGGACACAGATAGCAAAGATGGCCCTGAGAGGAAGTTGAGGGGGCAGCGCTGGATTTGTTTAGGTTCAGTGTGTAAACATCTCACAGAAGCTTGGGTGCATGATAAGGTGTGGCCTTTCAGTGATTGGTTGGTCCCATTTCCCTCCTCCCACGCAGTCTTTTGCTTTAAAAAGGGGATGCTCCCCGTTAATAAACGAGTTCCGGCTGCCTCTGATTGTCTCCTGGGCTACTGGGCTAAGGGAGGCTGGGGAACGGGCGAGCAGCCGCACGTACCTCTCCTCGGACCCCGTCCGTCCAAAGACGGACGAAGACCCAACAGAGAGTGGGCTAGTCATTGCGCTGCAAACACACACACACACACACACACACACACACCCCTCCCTCTGCTGGGCTCAAGGCACCTCCTCAGTAGACTCCTCCACAGGTGCCAGCCTCCAGCTGGAGGCCCTTCTGCAAGCGCAGCCTATGGCCGGAAGTGGCCGGGCAGAGGTGGCCTGACCATCCCCACTCACAGGCCGATGCCAGGGCAGGAGAGGCGCTCTTAGCCCGGCTCTCCCGGCTGGGCATGCCGGCTCCCGCTGAGGATCCCGGCATCTGGCAACATGTCCGCGTTCGACGCTGCCCGGGACCGAGGCCAGGCCCAGAGCCGGGCACCCCCAGCCTGGAGCCGCCTGCACACACTCCTGATGCCTGGGCCTAGGGAACTTTCTGGTTAAACTGCAGGAGGCGGGAGGCAAGCTTCTCCCCACCAGAACCCCCACCCTCTAGGGCCTGGGGTCTCAGGAGTGGGAGAGGCCAAAAGCCCACAAGAAAAGCTGCAGACCCTGGACGACAAGCATCTGTTTATTGAGATTCACGGGAAGCTGCTTCCCAGCCGGGGCTGCGAGACAAGGGTCCAGAGACACTAAAGCAGCAGCAACATCAGGCCGCACGCAGGGCTCTGCTGGCCAGGAGCCGGTCCCTCGCCTTGGTCCCTCGCCCTCCTCCACTCTGGGGGGAAGGCCGGTCCCCAGGCTCACCCAGCTCGGCAGCTCCGGCCTGCCTCGCACCGCGCCCGGTGCTCACACAGCCCGGGGCTCGCGACAGAACCGCACCACACAGCCGCCTCTGCTTCCCTCCTTCTCCTCTCTCTTTTTGTTTTTTGTCAGTCGTGGGGCCTGAACTCTGGGCCTGGGCGCTGTCCCTCAGCTCTTCAGCTCAAGGCAAGCGCTCTACCCCTTGAGCCACAGCACCAGTTCTGGTTTTCTGGTAGTTAATTGGAGATTAGAGTCTCACGACTTTCCTGACAGGGCTGGTTCTGAACTGAGATCCTCAGATCTCAGCCTGCTGAATCGCTAGGATGACGGGCGTGAGCCGCCCGTGCCCGGCTCTTCCTCTTCTTTTGTGGAAAGAAGTCTTACTTACACACACACACACACACACACACGAGCGCGCGCGCGCTGCCGTGTGCACCTGTGCCGGGCGCGGCCAGGCAGGTCCCGTCAGATGTACAGCTGGTGGGCGGCCAGCGTGTCCATGAAAGGACGCACCAGGTTGTCCGTGGAGAAGTAGAAGATGAGGCCGAAGGTGATGGAGATGGGGAGGGCTGGCAGCGCTTTCCTGAACACGGCCAGCAGCAGCAGGGTCAGACACAAGCCCTGCGAAATGCCGGGGAGATGCCTTCTGTGTGCCCAGGAGGGAGGGCAGGCCCACCCACCTGGGCTCAGTCCACCATCCCACGCGGGGGGGGGGTCTGCCCGCCCCCATGCGGGCTCCAGGACCCCACTTACAATGAGGATGGCCACAAAGCAGGCCAGCGTGGTGCTCCAGTCCCCGCTGCCAGTGGCTGCCGCCTTGCCAACCAGCACGCTGTAGAAGATGAAGTCTCCCAGCCCCAGCTTCACGCCCCCTGTGTGAGGGGGGAGAGGAGGAAGCCACACAAAGGACAAGGGTGGGCGGCCAGGGAAGGGGTGGGGGTAGAGAAGAGGGTGGGCGGCCCTGGGAAGGGCTGGGGATAGAGAAGAGGGTGGGCAGCCCTGGGGAAGAGGGTGGGTGGAGCAGGTGTGGCTCCAGAGCTAAGCGTAAACTGGAGGGGGGGGGTTCAACTCAGAACTTTGTGAAATATGGGTGAGAATACGATGACAGAGGACTGCTGCAGACCCCCCCAGGACAGGAAGCTGGGGTGAGGCCTGCTGTCTGCTGTAGACCCCCCTCCATAACCCCCCCCCCACAGGAAGCTGGGGTGAGGCCTGCTGTCTGCTGCTGACCCCCCTCCCTGCCCCCCCAGGACAGGAAGCTGGGGTGAGACCTGCTGTCTGCTGTAGACCCCCCTCCCTGATCCCCCCCCAGGACAGGAAGCTGGGGTGAGACCTGCTGTCTGCTGCAGACCCCCCTCCCTGCCCCCCCCAGGACAGGAAGCTGGGGTCTGCTGCTGACCCCCCTCCCTGCCCCCCCAGGACAGGAAGCTGGGGTGAGACCTGCTGTCTGCTGTAGACCCCCCTCCCTGATCCCCCCCCAGGACAGGAAGCTGGGGTGAGACCTGCTGTCTGCTGCAGACCCCCCTCCCTGCCCCCCCCAGGACAGGAAGCTGGGGTGAGGCCTGCTGTCTGCTGCAGACCCCCCTCCCTGGCCCCCCCCAGGACAGGAAGGTGGGGTGAGGCCTGCTGTCTGCTGCAGATCCCCCCTCCCTGACCCCCCCCCAGGACAGGAAGCTGGGGTGAGGCCTGCTGTCTGCTGCAGACCCCCCCTCCCTGATCCCCCCCTCCGCCCCAGGACAGGAAGCTGGGGTGAGGCCTGCTGTCTGCTGTAGACCCCCCTCCCTGACCCCCCCCAAGGACAGGAAGCTGGGGTGAGGCCTGCTGCCTGGGAGCCTCCAGAAGTGGCCACCCTTCCCAGCCCACAGGGCCCAGTGAGGGGCGTTACCTTTACTCTGCAGGTCAGGCCCCAGTCCTGCTCAGGGCCCAGACCTCAGGCCCAGGCCTCCCCTGGCCTTGGGCTGCTGCGCTGTGCGCAGAGTCTGGGTCCGCCTGGCCCTTTAGCTGGGCTGTGGGGTACCTCCTGGGCTCCCCGCCAGCCAGGCTCAGCTCCTCAGGACGCACTCCAGAGCTCTGCCCGGCTCCCCAGCACCCACGGCCTCCAGCGCTCAGCACGTGCGGCCAGGCAGGGACTGGCCCACAGCGCCCACACCCGACTCCCACCCAGGGTCCCAGACAGAGCTCAGACACACCGTGCACCTGACACCGCCACCCAGGGCCTGGAAGGGAGTGGGGGAGGGGCGCAGCCAGCCGCGGGCTCTTCACAGGGCCAGCCCCACCCGTGAGGACCTCAGGGCCCGCTCACCCGCCCGCCCACCCTGTGGGAGCAGACCCCGGGCGCGCGCACGGGCACCTTACTTTCCTCCTCTTCCTCCAGCTCCTCCCCAGGAAGGCCAGGCAGGGGTGGCTCAAAGGCCTCAGGATACGCAGGCTCTGCAAAGCCCTCATAGGAATCTTCCTCTGGAGCCATCGGGGTGCCGTGGCGGGAGAGACAAAGGCGGATCAGGGCTCCACTGCCTCCCTCCCCCTCCTACGAGGCCGGGCACCACGGTCAGGGCCGCCGGTGGACCAAGTCACCTGAGTCATCTGGGAGACAGCGCAGCCACGGCACACCCCTGCCCGGCAGGCCAGGCGGTCCGCCCTGCACCCACACTCACCCATCTCTGGGTCGTAGGGGAGTTGGAGTGCACCCTGGGAGGAGGGGTCCAGCTTGGCCATGCCCACTGGCCACACCATGGCGGCTGGGGAGGGAGACAGGGCCGCCTCAGGCAGTGCCCGGCGGGGCGCCCACCCCACTCAGCCCCAGCCCACCCAGCCAGGGGCCACGGTCGCCAGCCGGGCATGGCGGGGGTGCTTCCTGTCTTTTCTTCACTCCTCACAAACAACTCTGCCGAAGACAATGGTTATTATTATCTGTAAGCAGTGTGGTAAACTAGGTGGGTCTTTAAAAACTGTAAAAACAGCATCATTACATGTAGCGTTCTGAACGTGCAGCTCAGTGGTGCTCAGGAGCTCCCCAAAACCACCCCCAGGAGCCCTGTTTCCTCAGCTCTGCTCTGCTGGCTCCCACTACCCCGGGGGGCAGGTCACGCGGCGTGTCTTTCTATCACTGATGTGCTGGGGCTGCTATTCGGGCTAGACCACAACCTCCTTCCTTCCCAACGCCGACCACTGTCTATCACACTGTGTCCATCGCTCACAGATGGACCTCAGGGCACCCTGTTCCTGGCCTTGCTGAACACTGCGAGTCCTAACTCCGTTCCTGTTACAGACAGACACCCTGAAGAGGGGCTGGGCTCCAGGGTTAGGCTAACGCAATGGTTTCTCTCCAGTCTGGCCTTTCCTGAGGTCAGGCTCCATCTGGATGTCCAGCATACACTGCACACTCAGCCCTGTCCCCAAGGCTGCCCAGGAGCCCCGGCTGCCTGCCAACCTGCTCCCCAGCCGTGGTGGCCCCCAGCTGCCCGCCCAGCCCTGGCGCGGCCCTGACTCATGACCCCTCATCCACAACCCAAGGCCTCCAGAACACAGCTGTACCTCACCACCCACGGCCACCCACACACCGCCCACGTCCCTGGGCGGGACCCCAAGCCCGGGGTGATGGGAGCGCCCTTCCCAGCCCCCCAGCCCTACTGCTGCCCAGGCCGCTCCAGGGACAAGGCCTCCCCTCCGCCAAGCGCCCTGCTCGGAGCTGGAAGGCTCATCCGGCCACGGCCTGCACCTGCAGTCCGCCTGGGCTCCCCCTTCTCACGCTGAAGGTGGGGACCCCTGTGGGGCACCAAAGCCTCAGGCAGGGAAAGGGTATCTCCTGTCAACTCTGAGACAACCCCATGGCCAAGCCTCATGACCCCACCACAGGCTGCCTGCCAGCCTCCCCGCTGGGCTGAGGCGGAGCACTCACATGAGTAGATCAGGGCTGGGAATATGGGCTCATTCCTCTCCTGCGCCGTCTCCACCAGCACCCTCAGGGGCCCTCTGGGACAGAGCACAGCCACGAGGTCTGGGCACACAAAGACACCCTGTCAGATGGCTCCCAACAGTCCCCAGGGCCAGCCCTCGCCCCAGGGGCCTGGGTGGGCTCTCCAAACGGGCTGGGATCCCAAAACACTGGTTCTCGGCCAGGGCCTAGAGCTGTGCACCTTGACCCAGAGGACGGGCTTCTCTGAGCCTCCAGTCCCTTCGCCTTGTAGCGGGGCTCATGAGGAGCAGTGGTTTTGAGCAGTGGCTCATCGGGAGGAGCTGGCAGCTCTCGGCGAGTCAGGTATCCCGTGTGTGTGTGTGTGTGTGCGTGCATGCATGTGTGTGTGCGTGCATGTGTGTGCATGTGTGTGCGTGCATGCGTGTGTGTGCATGTGTGTGCGTGCATGCGTGTGTGTGCACACATGTGTGCCCAGTGAGGGTCAGCAGCAACGCAGCAACCATGTGTGTGTGCGTGCATGCGTATGTATGTGCATGTGTGCCCAGTGAGGGTCAGCAGCAACGCAGCAACCGTGTGTGTGCGTGCATGAGTGTGTGTGTGCGTGCATGTGTGTGTGCATGCGTGCCCAGTGAGGGTCAGCAGCAACGCAGCAACCGTGTGTGTGTGCACGTGCGTGCGTGTGTGTGCATGCATGTGTGCCCAGTGAGGGTCAGCAGCAAAGCAGCAACCATGTGTGTGTGCATGCATGCGTGTGTGTGTGCATGTGTGCCCAGTGAGGGTCAGCAGCAACGCAGCAACCGTGTGTGTGTGTACACATGCGTGCATGTGTGTGCGTGCATGTATGCCCAGTGAGGGTCAGCAGCAATGCAGCAACAGTGTGTGCGCGCGCGTGCGTGTGTGTGCGTGCGTGTGTGCCCAGTGAGGGTCAGCAGCAACGCAGCAACCGTGTGTGTGCACGCATGTGTGTGTGCATGTATGTGTGCGCGCATGTGTGTGCGTGTGCATGCATGTGTGCATGTATGTGTGCGTGTGTGTGCGTGTGTGCGCATGCGTGCTCAGTGAGGGTCAGCAGCAACACAGCAACCGTGTGTGCATGCGTGTGTGCGTGCATACGTGTGTGCGTGCATGTGTGTGAGCATGTGTGTGTGCGCGTGCGTGCGCATGTGTGCCCAGTGAGGGTCAGCAGCAACACAGCAACCGTGTGTGCATGTGTGTGTGCATGCATGCGTGTGTGTGCGTGCATGCGTGTGTGTGCATGCGTATGTGCACGTGCGTGCGCATGCGTGCCCAGTGAGGGTCAGCAGCAACGCAGCAACCGTGTGTGCATGCATGTATGCGCGCACATGCGTGTGTGCATGTGTGTGTGTGTGCACATGCGTGCCCAGTGAAGGTCAGCAGCAATGGGCACCGAGTGTGGGCACCTGCGTCTTCTCCCGGAGCACCTGAGAAGGCATCTCCACACCTCCTGTGCAACAGGAGAAACTGGCCTCACCACCACCACCGCCTCCGCCACCCAGCCTGCTGCCCACCGCCTACCGTACACCGAGATGGCGCCCAGGATGACCCAGGCGGACCACTCCGGAAGGTACTTGATGAACACCAGGGCCATGAGCGCGCTGATCATGATGAGGTAGGCCTGCTGCAGCACCAGGGGCCCCTTCCAGTGGACGCTCACCATGCCCACCGCCCCGAAGTTCCACACCGTCAGCCAGAGCGTGGGGTAGTCCATGGCCACGTTGTAGGTCTTGAGCACTTCCCTGCAGCCGGAGGCGGAGGGCTGGAATCTGCCTGCTTGCCCACTCCCTCCCCCTTGGCTGGGGAGAAAATGGGTGCGCTGCCCTGGGGCAGACCTGCCACAGGGAAGACTCCTGCAGAACTCCTCCCTGCTCTGCCTCCCTGGCCCGGTCAGGCCGCCATCCCAGATCAAAAGAGCAGGGCAGCGGGCCCCTCAACCAGGAAGCACCCAGCTCAGCCCAAAAGCGAAATACAAATTCTGAGGGGTTTCCACCCAGTTGGCACCCACAGACCACCCCTCCACGATGGCTTTGTTTTAAACCGGGAGCTCGAAGAGTCCACTCCCAGCCGAGCCCTGGAGGACAGGAGCCTGGGGGACAGGGCAGGGCCTGGGGACAGGGCAGGCAGACCTGGAGGCCAGCACTGGCACCCAGTAGCCACCCTTCTCCTCCTCGGTGCTGTATGAGGCCAGGAGAGAGCCCAGAGACCCCGCAGTTCAGCGGCTGCACTCACCCGAGGTAGATGTAGGTGAAGAGGAAGAGCAGCATCAGGGAGGACATGATCAGCCAGCCATGGATGAACTGACAAGAGAACAGGGCAGCCTGCACAGGCGTCCATCTTCCCCACCCTGGGGCCCCAGGTCCCCGGGACAAGGTGCCCATCTCTCCGAACTCCAGGCTCCCAGTACGGCTTCCCAAGCCAGGATGAGCAGAGGAAGTTGAACACCCCCACCTCAGGCTCTGTCCCAAGCAAGCAGCCTTCTGCCCTGCCCCCACCCCGCTTACAAGCTGGAGCCTCTGACACTGACTCCTGACACCCCTCCCGCCACCCATGCCACACTGCCAGCTGAGAGGCCTCTGCCTCCCCCTCCAGCGTCTCTGGAGGGGTGGTGCTGGGCCAGGGCGGCCTAAACCAGCCATGGAGGTAGAGAAGGAAGCCGGCCCTCATCCCAGGAGGAGAAATGGGGCTGGGGAGGCTGTGATGGGGACGGGGTGGGGGCCACAGATGTTGAAACCACCCTGGGAGCTGGAGGAAGGGCAGGGGCTCACAGGGAGGGGCGGCGCAGGGCTGACCTTGTAGCAGCGGTACTTGTAGAGCACCACCAGGAAGACGGTCATGACCACGATGACGCTGATCATGATGAGCGTGTTCAGCACGGAGTTCAGCAGGCGCTGCCCCACGGAGGCCGTGTCCTCGGTGAAGGGCGTGTAGATGCTGAGGCCAAGAGGGGCCCTCAGCGCCTGGCTGCGGCACAGCACCCACCCCCGGCGTCCCAGCTCTGCTCTGGACAGCCCGGCTGGCTGGGGCCTGGCAGCAGAGCTGCCATGCTGGGGAGCAGGCCCCGAGCCCCGGCCCACTTCCCAGCCTCCCGACAGTTACGGGGCTCTGCGTGAGGGCCGGACCAGGAGGCAGAGGGTCTGGACAGCACAACCAAATGGCTCTCGCACCACGTAACCCTACCCTGCAGGCACATGCACCTTCCCCCAGGCCCAGCCTGGCCGGGACTCCTGCAATGCCGGCCGCAGCGCCCACACCCGGCAAGAGGCCTGCCCTCCAGCCTGGATGCTGGTGGCTGTGAAGCCCTCCTGACACCTCCCTGGGCAGCACCGGCTGGCCTGCATGCCAAGTGCTTGGCCCCTGGGTGAAGCCTGGGCTCAGCCCCCACACAGATGAGGAGGAGGGGCATTCAGAGCACCCCAGGCAGGTGCGCCGTGCAGCCGCAGAGGCCGCGGTGGCCGCGGAGCAGGCCCCGACTCACAGCTGTCCGTTCTTCTCGGTGTAGAAGCGCACAGACTTGATGGTGGCCACCACCACCACCATGCACAGTGTGACCGGCACGAACAGCATGATCACGTGCTTCGCCCCGTACTTCAGGGTCAGCTGCTCCTCCAGCCCCGCCGGCCGCCCCGGGGCCCCGCTGCAGAGGTAGCCGTCAGGGTCCTCCTCGCAGTCCTCGCTCTCCCGGACCCTCTGGGGAAACCACAGTGCATGTGCGGAGTGAGGCCTGACCATTTCCAAGCAGAAGCAGGAAGTCTGCCCACAGCACACAGACAAGCAGGAGGGGGCTCATCTGGAAGGAGGGGCTATGGCTGGGGGGGCTCATCTGGAAGGAGGGGCTCGGGCTGGGAGGGGGCTCATCTGGAAGGAGGGGCTATGGCTGGGGGGGCTCATCTGGAAGGAGGGGCTATGGCTGGGGGGGCTCATCTGGAAGGAGGGGCTCGGGCTGGGGGGGCTCATCTGGAAGGAGGGGCTCGGGCTGGGAGGGGGGGTTCATCTGGAAGGAGGGGCTATGGCTGGAGGAGCTCATCTGGAAGGAGGGGCTCGGGCTGGGAGGGGCAGGCACACGTCCACTTGGAGGCCCTGGGCGGCTGGGGGGCCTACCCGCTGCGCAGAGCTCTCCCCGTCCTCCAGGGCGCGCCGGCCCTCCTGGCAGGAGCGTGGCGTGGGGCTCTCCGCAGACATGAGGGACGTCCTCTCGTCGCACCCTTCCTCCTCACTGTCGGAGGCCATGAAGGTGAACATGGCCCCCTGGGAAGTGCCTAGGAAAGGGGCAGAGGAGCCGATTCCACCTCCCTGCCAGGCAAAGGGCGCTGGAAGGAGGCGGAAGACCCGCCCAAAGGGGCTGCTCGTGACAAACTTCCAATACACACCCCAGTGACTGCTGTTAAGATGGGTCCCAGACCCACCCGAGCCGCTGTGGCACAGGGGCAAAATGTCCATCAGAAAACCCAGGAGCAATCTGAACTATGAAGGCATTTGGTCATTCATTCAGTCAATCGATCAGCACACACCTGGGAGCTAGTACTATATGGCAAAAATGGCTTTGGGCTCCGGGTGATGGTGTGAACCCCACAGGCTGTTCCAACACCTGGGGTGATGGTGTGAACCCCACAGGCTGTTCCGATACCTGGGGTGATGGTGTGAACTCCACAGGCTGTTCTGATACCTGGGGTGATGGTGTGAACTCCACAGGCTGTTCTGACACCTGGGGTGATCAGTGTGAACTCCACAGGCTGTTCCAACACCTGGGGTGATCAGTGTGAACTCCACAGGCTGTTCCGACACCTGGGGTGATCAGTGTGAACTCCACAGGCTGTTCCGACACCTGGGGTGATAGTGTGAACCCCACAGGCTGTTCCGATACCTGGGGTGATGGTGTGAACTCCACAGGCTGTTCTGACACCTGGGGTGATCAGTGTGAACTCCACAGGCTGTTCCGACACCTGGGGTGATCAGTGTGAACTCCACAGGCTGTTCCGACACCTGGGGTGATGGTGTGAACTCCACAGGCTGTTCTGACACCTGGGGTGATCAGTGTGAACTCCACAGGCTGTTCTGACACCTGGGGTAATCAGTGTGAACTCCACAGGCTGTTCTGACACCTGGGGTGATCAGTGTGAACTCCACAGGCTGTTCTGACACCTGGGGTGATGGGTGTGAACTCCACAGGCTGTTCCGACACCTGGGGTGATGGGTGTGAACCCCACAGGCTGTTCCGACACCTGGGGTGATGGTGTGAACCCCACAGGCTGTTCCGACACCTGGGGTGATAGTGTGAACTCCACAGGCTGTTCTGACACCTAGGGTGATGGTGTGAACTCCACAGGCTGTTCTGACACCTGGGGTGATCAGTGTGAACTCCACAGGCTGTTCTGACACCTGGGGTGATGGTGTGAACTCCACAGGCTGTTCCGACACCTGGGGTGATCAGTGTGAACTCCACAGGCTGTTCTGACACCTGGGGTGATGGTGTGAACTCCACAGGCTGTTCTGACACCTGGGGTGATTGGTGTGAACTCAGTGGGCTCTTCTAGGATTACAGACATGAGCCAGCAGAGCTGGCTGATCTGTACTTTGTTCAAGTTATTAATGTGTGTGTGTGTGTATGTGTGCTGGTCCTAGGGCTTTAACTCAGGGCTGGGCACTGTCCTTGAGCTCTTGTGTTCAAGGCTAGCACTTAACCATTTGAGCTGTAATTTCTCTTCCAGATTTTTTTTGGGGGGTGGTTAAGAGTCTCATGGAAAAGCTGGGTGCTGGTGGCTCACGCCTGTAATCCTAGCTACTCAGGAGGCTGAGATCTGAGGACTACGGTTCAAAGCCAGCCCGGGCAGGAAAGATCATGAGACTCCTATCTCCAGTAAACCACCGGAAAACCGGAAGTGGCGCTATGGCTCAAGTGGTAGAGTACTAACCTTGAGCTGAAGAGCTGAGGGACAGCGCTCAGGCCCCGAGTTCAAGCCCCACGACCGACAAAAAAAAAAGAAAAGGAAAAGAAAAAAGAAAAAAAGAGTTTCATGGACTTTCCTGCCTGGGCTAGCTTTGAACTGAGATCCTTAGCTCTCAGCCTCTTGAGTAGCTAGGATGACAGGTGTGAGCCACCAGGGCCTAGCTCAAGCGATCAGTTTTTAGAGGAGGTTTTCTCCCCTGGGGCCACTCCTGAGCTGCCTCGTTGGCCTGGGGCAGATGCCAGGCAGCATGCTGCCCCTGGCCTGAGCAGGACAGGGCCAGAGAGAGGTGGTCACACTTCTATTCCCTCTGCAATACCGGAGCCTTCTCTGGGAGGCTTCCCTGGACACTGAAGCCCATAGCATGAGGCCCCTGGAGAGTGGGAGACGAGTAAACAACCTGGATGCGCGTCCACATCCAGGGAGACGTAGCCCCTGCCCCAATCCTGCGGTCAACCCCTGGAGCACAACAGTCAGCACTACCTCCCACTACCAGCCCGAGGGGGCACACACGTGGGGGGTGGAAACAGGGGTGTGAGTCAGCTGACAGACTGAATCTCTTTCCAAACAAAGCCCAGAGGCTGAGGCAGCCCAAGATTAGCAGCAAACCATCCAAAGCGGTCACTAAATCTCACTGGATTGCTGAATGGGGCTGAAATGCTGACCAGCCACACCCAGGGAGGCAAAGCCCAGGAATCCCAGGTCTGGTGTCCGAAGCTCTCCCAATTTTCAGGGAAATGGGGTGACCCAGTTCCCTCGGCCGCCTTTTCACAGCAGAAGAGCCAGGTCTGCCTGAAGCCAGAGGGCCGAGGAGGAAATGGATTTTAAAACAGCAGACCAAGCTCCAGGGCTGCCTGGAGGGCAAGGCTCTCTCTCTTGCCACTAGCATTAGGGGCTGCCAGACAGGCGTGGAGTCTAGACAGACACCTGCTCTTTTCTTCCCAGAGGTGCCAATGCACAGTCTCTAGGTCACATGACTGCTGCCTGATACTGTAAGGTTAGCAACACCTTGAGGAGCCCCACTTCCCTGCCTACCTGCACCCTGACAACTGTCTGTCCGTCCATCCATCCATCCATCCTTAGCCCATATCACCACACGTCACTGCTGGATGGTTCTCCCCACACTGGGGTGACCTCAGTCCCATCTGACTGAATCCTTGGCCCTGAAAATTGCCCCATCCTCCAGACCACGGGCCCCAGGGGCCCTTGAGGGGCCTCCCGGTCCTCTGCCAAGTGCTGGATTAACTCCCAGTAGCTCTTTGCTACGACAATGCCTTTGGCACGGGAACCTCTCTCTCATTTCCTGAAGTAGCCCGGGAAGGGCAGTGTGGGGGCAGTGGCAGAGGAGCCCTGGTACACCAACCAAGCAGAGCCCAGGATCTACCTAGCTTTCTTTCTTCCTTTGTTCCTTCCTTCCTGAAATAAGAAGCAGCACACCCATGGTCAAAAGCAGAGGCTTTAAAGACGCAGAGTTGAAGGAGCCCACGTCGCGAGGCTTTGGGTGACTATTCTGACAGGGGAACTTCACCTTCCGCAGAAGACACCTGGCAGGTAACCGCGGGACCCAGGTGCTGTCGGCAGTGTCGCTACAGCAGGCGCTCTGCAGGGGGGCTCGGGGAAGATGAACGAGGACGAGGGTCCAAGGCCGTTCACAGCGGTTGGGGTCCCAGGGTGGGCAGCCAGGGATGCGCTAAGCCACCAGACAGGTGTGGAGTGGAGCCCCCAGGCCTCGGAGATCCTGTTTCTACACAGCCCAGCCTCGGGCAGTCAAAGCCAGCAGGGGTCTTAAAGTCCACCAGTCAGCACCTTCCTTCACAGCCAAGGAAATGGAAGGCCCTGGGGCAAAAGGAATCAGCCGAGGTCTCGTGACAGAGCAGCAGCTCGGACTAGGTCTTCACTCACTACATCTGAGCCTGCCCTGCCCATGTGCCCAAGAGGCTCCCAGCTGACAACTCTGAATAGTCTCTCCTGATCCTTCCCCGCTCCAGCCTGGGGCCCACCCTGCTCTCCCAGCTGCGGGTCTGGCGGCTCGGAAGGTTGGCTGGAACAGGGCACTGCTTCTCTGGGTCGATTCACAAGACAGGTGGGAACGGGTCCTGCAGTGGGACTGCCCGGAACAACGAAGGCTGTCCACACATCAAAACTGCCTTCTATTACTACCACAAACACCCGAGGCAACTAACTGGTTAGAAAGGTTTTGGCTCACAGCTTGAGAGGTTCCAGACGATGGGAGGGAGCCTGCTGCCCAGGGCTTGTACGAGCACATCCCTGCCAGAGGCACGCGGGGTGGCTGGACTGCTCACCCCATGGTCAGAGATCGAAGGAGGCAAGTAGCGGCGACCACAGTCTCCTCTGAGGACATCCCCAAAGACCTAAAGGTCGCTCACCAGAAGGAACCGCTTAAAGGTTCCATCCTCTCCCCAAACACCAAGTGGGGGGGCACCTTTGACACAAGGACCTTGGGGTATCACTAAGTCCAAACCCCAGCACTAGCATTCTCAGAAAGGAAAGCTTCCCAAGGCGCAACATTAAGATGAGGAGGGCAGAAAAACCTCTACCCACACTCTCCTCCGCGGTCTTAATAGACAACACCTGAGCCCTGTATTACTTTAGTTAAAGCTAAATGGTTGTGGAACTGGAGGCAAGGCTCAAGTGGTACGGTGACAGCGGTGAGCAAAAACATTGAGCGAGCACACACAAACACACACAAAGACAAGGGTCAGGGCTTCTGGCTCAGGTATGGCTGGTGGTGAGCACCCTTTAAATTTTCTTTCTCTGCTCTAGAATTTTAGCCAAGAGGAGCAAATGGCCTGTTTGCTCAGCAGACGCAGCAGTGACCCTGGCCGAGTCAGGCTTTGCAGACGGCAACTTGAGATTATTGCCCTCCCAGACGCTCCGGTGGCAGTGACACTGTCCCTGAGCTTGGAGGCCTAAGCTTGGTCCACCGACGCAGGAGAACCCCAAGAAAGGGAGCGGAGAGGGGAGGAAATCCCTGGGCACCACAGCCCTCCCCCGGGCTGCAGCCTGGGGAGATCACAGGAACAGTTGTTGTTCCATCCCAGTAAACCGCGTCCCCAAGCCACAAAACAACAGCCCAACAGCCACAGAAGTCCAGATGGAGAGGCGCTAGTGAGCTTTGTTTTATTTTTTTTTCTTCTAGTTCCTCAGGAAGTTGGTAATGGGACCCCCACAGACATGCTGTGGGCAGCAGGACAGAGACCTGGACAGAAGATGACAGTAAAGCGGATGTGGTCACAGGCCCTGAAGCCATACAACCCACCAAGCTGCTCGGCGGCTCCTAGCCCTGGGC